ATAAGAATAAGAGTTATGTTGTTCAATTTTTAATTATTCACACATCTCTTTCATCATCTTGTTATTCAAGTTCAATCCATTATCAGTAATGATCTTACTTGGAACACCATAATGATAAATAATCTGATTTTTGATAAATTAGACAACCACTTGTTTGGTCACATTGGCGTATGAAGCCGCTTCAACTGATTTGGTGAAATAATCAATGCCGCCAGAATGAAACGATGTCCATTTGAAGCTTTAGACTTGATCATGGCAATCATATCAATTCTCTACATGGAGAAAGGCCATGGAGAAGAGATAACATTGAGAAGAGTCGGAGGTACATGAATTTTGTCAGCATAAACTTGACATTTGTGGCATTTCTTCATAAATTTGCAACAATCAGATTCCATTGTCGACCAATAGTAACCTGCTCTTAACATCTTCTTTGCCATTGCATGTTCATTGGCATGGGTACCAAAGGATCCTTCATGAATTTATTTCATCAATGTGTCTACTTCGTGTCTATCAACGCATCTAAGCAAAACTATGTCATAATTTCTTTTGTAAAGCACATCATCGTTCAAGAAGAAGTTACCAGCCAACCTTCTCAAAGTCTTGTTATCTTTGCTTGATTCCCAAATGGGTACTCTTGTTTCTGAAGAAAGAATTTAATATCATAATATCATGGTTTATCATCAATGATCTCTTCTCCCACAAACAGATGAGCCGATCTATCAAGACGCATAATGTTAATTCTGGGCACATCATTCCACTGATTCACCATAATCATGGAGGATAAAGTTTCCAGAGCATTTGCCATCCTATTTTCTTCTCTGGGTATTTGGTGAAACTCAACCTTATTGAATAAAGTTGACAACCTTCTTGCATAGTCTCGATAAGGAATCAAATCAGGTTGACGTTTCACCCATTCTCCTTTGATCTGATTAATCACTAGGGTCGAATCTCCATACATATCAAGAATCTTGAAATTTTGGCACTCTGACACATGGTAATACTGATGTCCTCACATCAGAACATAATGTCAAGGCAAATGTTACAGCAACTTTTGTATGACAGAACAAATAAATCAAACTGAAAAATAAATTGCAGAAAGATAAATAACACAGTCAATCATTAACCCAGTTCGGTGCAACATCACCTACATCTAGATACATCCAATCTAGGAAGGAAATTCACTATGATAGCATTAGTTCAAAGCTAAACTCCCTCGTTTACAACTTCTTGCCTAATCACTAGCTTGTGCAACTTCTACATAGAAACTCTCTAGATATGAGATCCCCCTCTCACTTCCCAACAGTCACAAACCAGTGATAATTCAATAATAACCTAAAATAGAAGAACACTCTTCCAAGAACAATACTTAGTTTTTCTTAAAAGCTTTAAACTAAGTACAATATATTATTGCTTAAAAGCTTTAGAGTGAACAATTAACAACATACAATCAATCTACCTTAATGTATCAAAAGATACATTGTTGATTACCATGAAAAACCCTAATTTTGTAAATTCTCCCGATTTTATAATTTCTCTTGATCAAAATTCATGATGACATGGATGATGACTTGAGAAGCCCATCGTTGACCTAAGAACTCAAGAGTTGACTTTGTAGGGCATCAGTTGATTTTTAGACTAGATGAATGTAATTCCTCCTCTATGCACTTAAGAACCTTCTGAAATGATTTGTGATGAACCATGAGATATGTAAGGAACCCTTGAGATGTATGTTGATCCATGGAACCTTGTCTTGCTCAAGAAAAAAATCACAAGTAGTGTTTGACCCAAAACCCTAGTTCAGAGCCATTAACAGTTTGATCATATAAAACCTTTGAAACCAAAGAAATCCTAATCCTCTGATAATTGGGTGAACTTGTTGAGAATGCCTTGATGAATATGTGACCCTTGTAGCTTAAGGATACCATGATGTTGAGTACATCTCCTTGCTTATTGCTTTAGTAACCCATTACTCTTCTTGAAGAAAACCAAGAAACTTTGATCCCATGTCCTATACAAATGCAATGGTATAAAATGATAATGCAAATGAATGAAGTATAAGCCAAATAAGGTAACGAAAATGATAGCAAATTTTGGTGTGTAACAATGGCTTGGTAAACCTAGATGGTGGCGCTTATTCTGGATTAGCTCAGATTGAACACATAGCCCGTGAGGGGCCTATTTAGATATATTTTGTGTTATTTGTATCATATGTATATTATTTAGGCGCATTTCTCATAACATTTTATTAGCTAATTTTAGTGATATTCCTTAAATTGCAGTGTGAAGGTTAACTTACTTCCAATATTTTAAAAATCGGATTGAACTGGCCGGTTCAACCGGTTGGACCGAGAGCCGGAGATGAATCTGGTTGGGTCAACCTTTCAAAATCGCTAGTGGGTCATAATCAGGATTAAACCGAAAAAATCGGATTGAACTGTCCAAAACCATTCGAACCAAAGAACCGGAGCCGGTTTTGAAAAACTGTCCGGTTTAAAAAAATTAATCAAATTGATCATTTTTTAAAAGTTTTAATAAAAATTTTAATATGTTAATTTCAAAACTTAACATACATTCTCTAATCACAAAAATTAATTCCATGTGTTTTTTACAACCATACAAACTTCTAAGTTTTGTCACTCTATTATAGCACACTCCATCATCATTATGCCGTCTCTTTCAAACATAATCACGATGTCCAGCTCTATTGATTGTCGTTCAAGTCAATATTGTTTGTCTATTAAGACTTGTTTGTCGTAGCTCAACTCAAATTCGATTTTTTGTTGTTTAATAAATTATATTGTATTATTTATATTTTGGTATTCTATCTTATTTAATTTATGTATTCTTAATTATTTGAACTTTTATTTTAGTTATTACATTCTATTATTTTAATCTTGATTTGAGCTAGTTTAATTTAGTTTGTTGTGATTCTTTAGTTTGGTCAAAATATTCTTAAGGGATGGTTGAAATGAATTGTAGAACTATGTTAATATTATGTATTATTGATATTGTTGTATTAAATTTGTAATGAATTTTTGAAATATTTATTTTATTAAGTTGAGAACATATAATAATATGTGACATTTCTATAAAATTTAGTTTCATATTATTAGTTTATTTAATAAACGGTTCGACCGTAGGTTTAACCGGTTTAACCAACTGAGCCTTAAACTGTAAGTTTTACCGGTTCGATCTCCGATCCAGTTTTTAAAACTGCTTACATCTGACAATGACTTTCATAATTTAAACATAAAACAATTAACATTACAATATGATTAATAAATAAGAAAAATCTAAACACTAACAAACGTTTTAGGATGTTTCAACATCTCCATTATATCGTCAATGGATCTTGACAGCTTCGCATCTAACTCGATCGGACCCTTTGTTATCCTACGACGAAATGATCTCCACATTTCCTTCACATCTTCGTCGGTCTTCAACTCAATAATGTTGTATTTCACAATCCTGTTTGTATCGACCCAATCTTCACGAAACTTGATCTTTCTCACCTTTCTATTGTCGCCATCAGGCAACAATTCATTCAACTTCGACGTCAGGTCGACAAAAGAGGTGGTGTTATCGAGAAGTTTGAACTCTACATAAGGAAAAACTTTGTTGAAGTAAACTTCTGTCTTAATAAAAAATTGAGGAAGATGCATTTTTTTATATATATTTATCAACAAGAGGTAATCCTAATTTATACAACTGTGAATTATCATGGACCACACAAACTCTCTGTGCAATCATAGCCGTACAATACTGTTGGTAATATCATGACCATCCATCCAAAAAAACCTTAAAATGAAATTACCAAAATTTTCATCTTTTTCTAATATCAACACAGGAATTTCATATTTTTGAAACAATTAGCACTTTATCTAAAATTTGAAATTTTCAGAATACCGAAAATGTACCAAATTTTTTAATATAATTATTAGAAATTTCTAATGGAAATTTAATGTATTTTTCTTCCGAAAGCAGTTTTGACATTATAAAAAATTAGGAGTGTCAGATTTAATTTTGAGGGCGGCAGGTAGAATCTCTGCAGATGACCGTGCAAGAATTTCTCCCAAAAAGGGCCGAGGAGCGAATTTTTTACTGTTCTGCCACTACTTGAAAAAGAAAATACCAAAGTGCCACTAATTGAAAAAAAAATATGAAATTGCCACATTTTTAGGGAGGGTTCGTCCAATGGTTGGACGACCCAATGAAGCCTAATTTTGCGCAGCAAGGGTTCGGCCATCCATTGGCCGACCCTGCTCTAAGTGCTTTTTTTTTTAATTTTCAGAATTAATTATATATTATATTTTATTATTTTTAGTTTTTAATAGTTATTTATATATTAAAATGACTTAAATAATATTTTATATTAATAAAAAAATAATTTGATTAATTTAATTTTTTTTAATATTATTAAATATATTTCACATTATTTAATTAATTGTTATATTAATAATAAAATTATTTAAATCATATTTTATGTTAATAAGTAATTTAATGATTTTAAATAATTTTTTGATATTAGTAAATATTTTTTACATTATCTAAATAATTGTTAAAATAAATAATAATATAAAATAATAAATGAAATCATAAATAAAGAAAATTATATTAATATTTTAGAGTGAAAATTATATTAATATTTAAGTTATTTTAAAACATAAATAAATATTAAAAACTAAAAATAATAAAATATAATATATAATTAATTCTGGAAAAAAAAAAAAACACCTAAAGCAGGGTCGGCCAGTGGATGGCCGAACCCTTACTGCGCAAAATTGGGCTTTATTGGGTCGTCCAACCATTGGACGAACCCTTTCTACAAAGATGGCAATTTCATATTTTTTTTCTAATTAGTGGCATTTTGGTATTTTCTTTTTCAAGTAGTGGCAGAACTGTAAAAAATTCCCGAGGAGCAGTGAATTTGAATAGAAGAAACAAAAGGAGTGGCTGTTTGGTTAGTTGACTTGAGTTGAGCTGGTTCAGAAAAAACAAGTATGGAGGAAGGAGTGAAGAGATGGGTGGTAGACATATCAAAGTGGGACCCACTCCCCCATCAATTCTCCTTCGCCCTCTCCCTCCTTCCTTCCCAACAACACTCCTCCGTCACCAGGTATCCTCCATTCCTTTCTCAATCTCTTTAATCAATCAATATCTACTTAGCATCCACACATCTGAAAAATTGAGTATCCGACTCGGTATAGGATATTTGTGTCCGTGTTGGTATAGAATGTTTGCTCGACACCTATGATTATGTTTAATTTATTTATTTTTTTAAATTATTACTGATTTCGTCTGGTAAGTGTTGCGGTTAAATTCGAGGTGTACGCTTCATAAATTCAATATTCATGATGATCATGTATTTGTTTAACTCAATAGGTTTTTTAAAACTCAAGACCAGAAACGTGCACTTATCAGCAGAATGCTTCAATATGCACTTCTACATCATTTCATCAAAATCAATAACCCTTTCTTATTCACCATTAAAACAACTTCCCAAGGCAAACCATTCTTGGATTTACTGGTATCCGATTTTTTTTCCACACCATTATATTAGATTAAATCTACTTTTCTAATTTTTAATTTACTAGTCTTTTGTTTCAGGATTATGATAAATTGGGTATTACATTCCCAAATTTTAATTTCAATGTATCTCATCATGGCGACTATGTCGCCATAGCATCTGAACCTTTATGTCTTGTGGGGATTGACATTGTCTCCTTTGATATACCTCATGGAGAAACAGTTGCGGACTTCATTCACTCTTTTGAATCATACTTTTCAACTTTGGAATGGGATAATATACTCAATGCTGCCACTTCCAATCATGTATTAATTAAGTTTTACAGGTATCATCTATACTATGATTATACTCTATCTTTGCATTTTTTTTTCATTACAGATGCATACATGTTTGTGGTTCAAAATGCTGTAGAGCACAAGATGGTCTTGAAAAATGATATTTTGAACCGAATTGGGGGCCTTACTGAAAGTCAAAGGAGTATGGTAAGGTCAGAAAATTTGACGCAACAGAATAATAGAGATGCAGAATAGGGTTTCACTAAATTGTATTAAAGAGGTTACAACTTAGAAAAATTCTCTCTGCTACAATGCCGTTTGAAGAAATTAAAGGAAAGGGGAAAGGACAGAAGAAAAAGATAATGGTGAGTACTACTCCACCAACAGAATTACAAGGGAGAGAGAGATTTGATTACCAAATTTTCCACACCCACTACTCTCTTTGTTGTTCCCTTTTATGCTCACTCAAACAGAATATTTTCTGTTTTCCTTTCTCTCTCTCTCTCGTACGCTTCTCCTTATTTGCACCAAAGGTGGATCAATTGCCACCTGTCCATTAGTGTGATTTGCCTCTAATTCTATTATTTTGTCCTTTGTGCCCTCATGATTAATCTCAATCATAACATTACTCCCTCCATTAAAACTAACCTTGTCCTCAAGGTTAAGATTTGGATAATTGTCCTGAAATTCAGACCAATTTTCCCATGTTGCAGCTGACCTAGGCAGACCCTCCCACTGTACCAGCACCTGTGGGATTTGTTGTTGTTGCTGCAGAATCACACGGGACTGAATGATAGTCTGAGGCATCAAAATAGGACCCAACTCATTCGTAGTCAAGGGTAGAGGCAGATAATGGACATTGTGCTCACCCTTGCAAGGTTTCAAAGCCGACACGTGGAAAACCGGGTGAATCTTTGCCGTAGGGGGCAGTAGTAACTTATAGGCAACAGGACCAATCTTGGCAATGATTTGGAAATGACCAAAATAGCGTAACCCCAGTTTTTGATTCCGTCGTAAGGCAATGGAATGTTGACGGTAAGGTTGGAGCTTAACCAATACGTGGTCACCCACTTGGAATTCCAAGACCCTTCTCTTGGAGTCTGCAAACTTCTTCATTGTTTGCTGAGCTTTGGACAGATTTTCTTTGAGTAAAGCCAAGACCTTATCACGTTCTTGTAGTAACGTTTGGAGTGAAGGGGGATCTAACGGGCTGCTGTCATACTTAATTAGCATAGGAGGATCTCTGCCGTATACTGCTCTGAACGGACACATACCGATGCTGGTGTGAAAAGCTGTATTGTACCATAATTCGGCCCATGGAAGCAATTTGGACCAAGCCTTAGGGTTTTGACTCGTAAAGCAACGTAAGTACATTTCCAGGCATTTGTTGACAACTTCAGATTGTCCGTCTATTTGGGGATGATATGCTGTACTCATGGCAAGAGTAGTACCACTTAACTTGAAGAGTTGTTGCCAAAATTGACTAGTAAAAACTTTGTCCCTATCCGATACAATTGATTTAGGGAACCCATGGAGTTTAACCATTGTATTGATAAAAATCTCAGCAACTTTGGCAGCTGTGTAATCACTTTTCAGAGCCGTAAAATGACTATACTTGGACAGACGATCAACAACAACAAGAATAGCCGAGTATGCATTTGAATTAGGCAAACCTGTTATGAAATCTATGGAAATATCCTCCCAAATTTGAGCTGGAATAGGAAGAGGGTGTAGCAGGCCTGCTGGACGTGCAGTGGATGCTTTAGCTTGCCGACAAACCAAGCACTGAGATACAAAATCCTTGATGTCACGGTTCATGGTTGGCCAATAAAATTGAGAGGCTAATCTGGCCTTGGTACGGCTGATACCAGCATGAAACTCTTGGAGTAACAATTCAATAATTTGTCTATCCGCAGGAATGACCAACCTAGAATTCCAAAACAGCATGTTGTGACGTACTTGGTAATTAGCATCCAGACAATGCCCTGAGAGACACTGATTTCGTATGTTAGCCGAATGAGGATCGTGATTGATAGCATCATGAATTACAGTTAGCACAGCAGCTTGTGGGGTAGAGAAAGCCATGAAGAATGAGCGAGACAGGGCATCGGCAGCAAGGTTTTCACAGCCCGGTTTATATTCAATAGTAAAATCATACCCGAGAAATTTGTGCAACCAATGTTGTTGTTCCGGTGTTTGGATGGTTTGATCCGTCAAAGCCTTCAAACTTTTTTGATCTGTCTTGATTGTGAACTTGTGACCGATAAGATAATGACGAAACTTCGCCATAGCTTCGGTGATAGCATAGAGTTCGCGCACATAAGCGGACTGTTTCTGCATCCGTGTGGACAACTTTTTAGAGAAGTATGCAATTGGGTGTTTATCTTGGCTTAGCACTGCACCAATACCAGAACCCGAAGCATCGGTTTCAAGAATAAATTGTTGATGAAAATTTGGAAGAGCAAGTACTGGAGCTACTGTCATTGCTGTCTTGAGCTGCTTGAAAGCCATGGTTGCTTGGTTATTCCATTGAAAAGCATCCTTTTTCAATAATGATGTCAATGGTGCTGCAATAGAGGCATATCCTTTAATAAAGCGACGGTAGTAACCGAATAACCCTAGAAAACCACGTAATTGTTTAATACTTATGGGAACAGGCCAATCTAAAACCGCTTTGATCTTGGAAATATCCATTTCTACGCCTTGACTAGATATTGTGTGACCCAAGTAATTTACCTTTGTCAACCCAAAACAACATTTAGACAGTTTAGCGAATAAGGTATGATGTCTCAGCAAGGTGAGGACCACTTCTAAGTGTTCAAGGTGGGTTGCCCAAGAGGGACTGTAAATGAGTATTTCATCGAAGAACACCAATACGGATTTTCTGAGTTGCTCTTTGAAAACTTGATTCATTAAGCTCTGAAATGATGCCGCCGCATTAGACAAACCGAACGGCATAACTAACCATTCATACAATCCTTGATGAGTACGGAAAGCTGTTTTAAATCGATCCTCGGATTTGACTAAAATCTGATGGTATCCAGTACGTAGATCCAGCTTAGAGAAGTAAGTGGCACCAAACAATTCATCTAGCAATTCATCCACAGTAGGGATGGGAAAGCTGTCTTTAACCGTGATAGCATTCAAAGCACGGTAATCGGTGCAAAAACGCCATGTACCGTCTTTTTTTTTTACGAGTAAAACAGGTGAAGAAAAGGGGCTCGAGCTGGGTTGAATAATACCCTGGTCCAACATGTCCTTAACCATTTTCTCTATTTGTTCCTTTTGACAGTGCGGGTATCGATACGGACGTACCTTAAATGGGTTACTGCCCTCCAAAAGAGGTATAGTGTGGTCTTGTTCGCGGGGTGGTGGCAAGCCCTTAGGTTCTCCAAACGCATCCATAAAAGATGCAAGTAAACTCTGCAAGTCTGATGACATATCAGAGGGCAAGGATATGGTAGTTGCTTCGTGATGAGCAACAGTATTAAACTGCAACATGAATGAAGTATCGATGGAGTGAGTGTTATGAAGACGGCGAATGTGATGAAATTGAGCTTGACTTACAAAGGGTGACTTATCACCATGGAGTGTGATGAAGGCATTCTGCAAATAAAATCTAATAGATAATGCATCATAATCGGCGATGTGTGGACCTAGTGTTTTCAACCACGGTGCGCCCAAAACCAAATCGGCACCGGTAAAAGATAGTAAGTATACCGGAACATGTAACACATGGCCTTGGATAGAAATTGGTAAGTCTGGAATATATCCCTCTGAATTCAATTTACTACCATTACCCACAAGGACTGGAAATTTACCTGCAGAATGAATTGGAAGTTTTAGACAGTGAGCAATCCTTGGTTGCAGGAAATTGTCAGAACTTCCACTATCCAATAAAATTTGAATCTCAACACCCTGAATATTCCCTTTGAATCGCATGGTAGCTGCCCCAATAGATCCACGTAGAGCATTGAGTGAGAGATGATGTTCCATAGATGAACTTAGCTCGTCAATGGTAAGAGTTTGGTCGATATGGTCAGAAATGTGGTCATTACGATCATCGTCGTCTACTTGTAGTAAGTAAAGGTGTTTATTGGGACATTTGTGGGACATGGTGAATTTGGCATCACAATAGTAACATAAATCTTTCTCCCGGCAGAGGAGGATTTTTGTAGGCGTGATTTGTTTGACATTGGGGTTTTTTGGTGGGTTAAATGGTGGTTTGGCCGGTGGTGTTGGAAGCAAAGGGGGTAGGGTCGAGTTTTTGGAGTTGGATGAGGGGTAAGGTTTGGTGTGTTGGTTAGGGTAAGTGTTTTTTGTCTGTGTAGTGTATTTTTCCTCAAATAATTTGGCTAGGGCAAGGGCTTTGGAAATGGAATGAGGTGTTTGAGCTATAACATCTCTTTTGATGTCTGGTTTGAGTCCACTGAGGAAACAATCCAAAATGGCAGCTGGACTGAGGCCCTGTACACGGTTAGCTAAAGCAGTAAAGGAGGTGTAATAAGCAGCAACAGAGGTGGATTGGGTTAATTTGAACAGGGCTTGGCTAGGAGATTCATATGGGGATGGTCCGAATTCCAGTTTTAAAGCCCTAGTGAAAGCAACCCAAGATTGGAAAGGATTGTTTCATGCCATCATCTGGAACCAAGGCACAACATCCTTCTCCATGTGAATCGCAGCAATAGTGAGACGTTGAGGATCTGGTGTTGCATAATACTCGAAAAATTGTTCCGATCTAAAGATCCAGTTCAAAACATCGGAGCCATCAAAACGGGGAAAATCTAATTTGACATTTCTGACCTGAAACGGTGGGTTCGACGACGACGTCAACGTTGAAAATCCCGACGAGTTCCTTCCACCTGGCGAGGCATTACCCTATTACAGCAAACTCAATTGTGCTTCGATGCGTTCCATTCGTGCTCGATCGTCACTGCGATCACGAGCTGCTTCTTCGCGAATGGCTTGGAGCGTGGCAGTGAGTGTTGCGATCGCTGTTTCCATGGTCTTCATACGAGTGTTTTCTGCCATCAGAGAGGTGGTCGATGAAAGCACCAAATGGTATGGTCAGAAAATTTAACGCAAAAGAATAATAGAGATGCAGAATAGGGTTTCACTAAATTGTATTGAAGAGGTTACAACTTACAAAAATTCTCTCTGCTATATTCAGCAAATATGGCTAACAATGCCGTTTGAAGAAACTAAAGGAAAGGACAGAAGAAAAAGATAATGGTGAGTACTACTCCACCAACAGAATTACAAGAGAGAGAGAGATTTGATTACCAAATTTTCCACACCCACTACTCTCTTTGTTGTTCCCTTTTATGCTCACTCAAACAAAATATTTTCTGTTTTCCTTTCTCTCTCGTACGCTTCTCCTTATTTGCACCAAAGGTGGATCAATTGCCACCTGTCCATTAGTGTGATTTGCCTCTAATTCTATTATTTTGTCCTTTGTGCCCTCATGATTAATCTCAATCATAACAGAGTATTTGTTTGCTTTGCAGGTATTGGAGTCTAAAGGAGGCATATGTTAAAGCCATGGGGAGTGGACTTGTTGAAGGGTTGAACAAAGTGGAATTTTCTCACACAAATTGGACTAATATATCAGCTACAATGGATGGGAAGTTAATGGATTTGTGGAGATTTTGGTTGATTGAACTAGGAGAACGACATTGTGTGAGTTCCTCATTAACTTTTATTTAGCTTATAATTAAATGATTACAACATTATAGAGGAAGGGGGAGAGGATCTTGATTTTTGACAGAATCATAAGCAAATTGTAATTGTCTTTTTAATCACATGAAATTCCATACAAAAATTCTTTACACGCTCATGCCTTTTTTTTTTTGCATCAATATTGTAAGCATTTGATTTCCTTTCCCTTGAGTGAAATTAAGGGGAACTGCCATCGTAATGGCATGAAATTTATACACAGATCAACAACTCCTAGAATAATGTTTCTTTCTACTGAATAGTGGATCATATAGTTCTACAAAAGGAGTACTTTAGATTTCCATTACAGAGACAAGACACCTATTTTGCTGGATTTCGAGTTCAAATTGGTATAAGAGCTGAATATATTTTGCCTGCTCTGTCAAGGCTATTAAAGTGGTTTCAAACAGCTGATATTGAATGCATTCTCATGCAAATTTGAACACATGCATACTCAAGTGAACCCAGCGACACAAATGAAAACTCATTACAAGAAGTTCTTGCAGTATATAATAGCACACATACGGACTACCATCAAAATCAAGAATGGACTCAGCCTAACAAAACTCCAGAATCTAGATCAACAGGGGAAGATTCGATAAGTCATTATAAATGGTTTCTCTTGGTGCTTCCACAAGTTTGATTGGATTAGAAGCAGGAGGTATAGGTAACAGCATGATGGTTTTCGTTTTGGGAGGCTCCATATGGAAAAATTGATGGACAATGTTCCACAAGTTTGATTGGATTAGAAGCAGGAGGTATAGGTAACAGCATGATGGTTTTCGTTTTGGGAGGCTCCATATGGAAAAATTGATGGACAATGTTCCAATTTGACTTGCTGCAGTAACAATCTACCAAAATCCAGCAACCTTTTAGAGTCTCACTTATTTTCTTTATATTTAGTTATCAAGTCAAAACTTTTTGGAGTATTCTTTCTGCATTCTTTTACATGCGAATAGCAGAAAGGTAAAGTTCTCCTCTGATATATGAGACAGGAAAGTATTTGGCAAATATCTCAGTAATAGATTACAAATTACTCTTCTAAATAATAACATCCTTTTCCAGCAAGTTAGAGATCCAAGCCAAATATCATCAAAATGTTAGAAAGGGAGCAATGAGTTTTTGTATCTCATCATTATAGAGAAGAGTTTGAGGAGAGAACGGCAGGGAGCAATTGCGAATGGGGAAAGGTTGCTTTGCTATAAATAATTTAGTTATATGAAAGAGAAGAAAGGTGAAAAAGGCAACACTGGAGCAACCATATATCTAGCCTATATGGAATCTTAATCCAAAATCTGCTCTCATACCTTGTACCAATTCCTAAACTAACTATTCCTAAAGTTTTAGTTAGGTGAAAACAAAATTAATGGTTTTTTTCTCTAATCACTAAAATGACAACTTCTAAAGTTTATGCATCTACTTTTAAACTTTTGTATCATATAGACTGAGCTTTTTTTCTCATGTTTTACAGGTCGCGATTGCGAGAGGTCCTCCAAAATCAGCTGATACTAGTTACATATCAACATTGAAGAAAGTAGACTTTACTGAAGACGAATATAGTACAGGTCTTCATCTTCCAAATGTAGACTTTGTAGAACTAAGTGTAGAACAACTTGTTTTAATTTTACAGAAAGCATTTAGTTGTGAAAATAGAGGTTAGATGTTATTGTAAATCTAAGAAGAATTACTATATACACATCAATCCAAATACTGTTAGTGTACTAAAGATAAAATTTCTGCATAAATAGTAGCTGCCTTATATATGAAATTTCTGTAAAAAAAAAGAAGCTATTTTTACAAATGAAATTTAGTGTATCCGAAGGAAAATACTCAACATATCTCATGTACATTCTGGAAATTGGCGGTTAACATCAAGGTGGGTAGACCAGATCATATCCGAGTCGGGCATAAACCATTTCCAAAATCCAGGCGCAACATAGGCCGCCTAAAAGTCTGAGATATTCAAGACAAGTATTTATACACATTTATCACATGACAAAATCCAGACGTAACATAGGCCACCCAAAAGTTGAGATATCCAAGACAAGTATTTATATACATTTATCACATGACGTCAGCATGTTCAAATATGTTCCTAATGTAACAGCCCAATTTTCGATAACTGATTAATTGTACTAATGGATTGGTTTAGGTGGTTTATCTGATTTAAATAAGTTATGAGATTTATTTAATATGAGTTAATGGATTTAACTAATTTATTCTATTTGGTGGAATAAGGTGGGCTTAGTAGATATTTTCCAATTAATGATAAAATGAGATAATTGTGAAGAGAGAAATGGAATGGAAAGAAAATAATAGAGAGGAAGGAAAAAAAGAAAAGAAATAAAAGGATATAAAAAGGGGATTGGAGAGAAAGAGAAAGATAGAAAGAAAGAAAGAAAAGAGAAAGAAAGAAGAAGAGGAGAAATGAAGAGGAAAAAGGGAAAAAGCTTGGAGAATCTTCAAGAACCAATTTCGAAGCTCCGATTAATCGAGGTAAGGGTGAGAAACATTGCTATTTAATCATTGTATGCTATTATGTATGTTGGGTTTGGGTTTGTGGATGTTTTTCATCACTTTCTATTTTAGGGCAAGTTGGATTAATCGGTAGAATGATGATTTAATCGGTTGAAATTTGGAAATAATGCCGTAGAATAGTCGGGTAACATGAGGGTATGTTGTTTGAGCTGATTTTGATGATTAAGTGGTTGGTTGATGGTGGGATAAAGGGAGAAGACAGAATGGGGTTCTGTTCTGCGCAGGTTCGCTGGCTCTCGCCAGGCGAGTGAAGGCGAAGCTTCGCCGGGCGAAGCCCAGCGAATGCTGGCGAATAAATATGATTAAGTCCCAGTGGACTTCGCTGGCGGGTTCGCCAGGCGAAGGGTTGTTGGCGAATGTTCGCAGGGCGAGCATGCTGGCGAATGGTGGCGAACCAAGTCAGTAGCTACTGACTTCGCTCGCTGGGGAGTTCGCCGGGCGAAGGTCTAGCGAGTATTCGCTGCGAGGGTTCGCCAGGTGAATGAAGGCGAATCAGACAGCATTCTTTTTTTGTTGTGTTGTTCATGTGGTGATTGTTTGGTTGATTCACATAGGTTAATACCTCTATGATATGAATAAGTATGTGATCCATGGTGATGATATGTGTTGTGGGTAGCCTTTGGGCGTGAATCCTAGACTTGTGGTATGAGTATTAATCAAATCGATTATAAATACATGAGAACATGATAATGATTATGTGTGTATTATTTAATAATGGTAATGTGCGTATTATTTGATGAGTTTGTGAAGGTTTGATGTAGTGTACAATTAGGTAATAAGTATGCATGAGAACATTGTGGATATATGTGTGCATAGCTTATAATTGTATTATTGGTACTGTGACATGTATACCTTGTATGAAATGGCATGAGATGAATAATAAACATAATACAAAAATGTATTGTGGATGTATATTGTTTATATGCGGTTGTATGTTAAGATACATGAAGAATGCATGAGAGCATATTGATGGATATGCGTGCATCGTTTGATAAATATGATGTTTGTATTGATTGGATGCGATTATGTATGAACAATGCGTGAGAATATATCGTGAATATATGTACATTGCGTGGTAAATGTGTTATGCGTGTAAGCATGATGTAATTCTTGTATGATGAATTACTTGAGAATGCATGAGAACATATTGTGGATATGTGTGCATTGTTGATAATGCGGTGATGATATTGAATTGTGAATGTATATTGTTGGTATATGGTGGTATGAATAGAATGCATGAGAACATGTCATGGATATGTGTGCATTGCTTGATAGATGTTGTAAATGCATATTGTATGTATGTGATTAAATGTGAATAATGCATGAGAACATATCATGGATATGTGTGCATTGTTTGATAACTGTGAAGAATGCATGAGAACATATCGTGGATATGTGTGCATTGTGAGTGATAATGTGGTGATAGTGTTGAATTATGAATACATCGATGAATGTTATGTGAATATGTTGTGTGTGCAATCATAATGTAATTCTTGAAGAGATGAATTATTTGAATGCATGAGATTAAGATGTCGGTCTTAAGTGCATTTGTTGTGGCTGATTGTACATGCATCATTTAGTCAAGAGGCAATGTCTGTTAGTTTCGTGAAAACTAGTGGCTTGTCCCAAACCTAGAAGAGTGGGTTTGAAGGCTTAGAGGACGGGCCTTTGTTGTTATCGGTCTAGAAGAGTGGACCCGGTTTAATGTAAAAACCGAAAAATGATAACGAGTTATCGGTCTAGAAGAGTGGACCCGGTTTAATGTAAAAACCAAAAAATGATAACGGAACTCGGTACCGCATTGCATTGAGTTGCATTGAGTTGTTGAGTCACATTGTATAATGTCATTGATATATGAAGTATGCATGTGAATGAGATGTTTGTTGAATACTTATGAAGCGTGCATGAAGAGATGCTTACGTGTGAATGTTAAGATTGTGGAATTGTGGATGTATGCATGATGTAAAATGCTTGGTGAATATTTATGTTGTATATATATATAAGTGACGATGTAAATGACTATGAGTTGAATTGTGGTGAGAAATAGGGAGTTAATTATATGATACCTATGTATACATGATTTTATGCTTTGATTATTATGGTAATATTTCTCACCCTTCTGCTGTTTTATAATGCTCTATGAGGCATTGCAGATTAGGTTGCTGGAGGCCTTTATGAAGTTCTGCTTGTAGTTCGAGGTTGCTACGTGTGTAGCGGTTTAGTAATTATTTATGGGTCGAGTCATGCTCTGGTCGTGTAACACGAGGATCGATTGCTTATGTTTTAGGATTACATTATGTAACCTAAGTTATGTTTTCATATTTGGAGTAATTGAGATAATGAGATGTTGGCCTTAGTGCCTAGAGATGTTGATTTTATATGATGAAAGTAAATGTTTCTTTTAAAGGATTTTCATTAATGAATCCGCTGCTAAATGGAAAGGTGTTTATGAGCATGACAGATTGTTTTAATGTGGTGCAAGTTTTGTGTGATGCCCTTTTATGGATGCATGTTAACTTTTACTCTGATTATGCATATATTATTTGCGGGGTTTAAAAGGGTGTTACACCTAACGCAATAATAACCCGATAATTGGTTATTATGGCTCTTAACTAGGGTTAAATTGCATTTATATTCATTGTCTCATATTAGGTGAAAGAAATCAAACTAAAAGGAAGCGTACTCCAAATTGAAAAGGGAAGACTCAATTCATTCGAAGAAGTCACATATTGTGGCTCTTTTTGAAACGCATTAAAGGAGCTATTCAACTAGTGTTCTTTGCATGAACATTTGGCGCCCACTATGGGGCTTTGGTAAAACTTGTTTGGACCACACAACATTACAAATCTATCCACTTTGCAAAATTCAAGAAGTCATAAAGTCATAAAATTTTCAATGGAACAAAGATTGTGAGAAGGCTTTCTAAGAGTTGAAAAATTTCATGTCAGTTCCTCTTATTCTTATCCGTCTCAAGGAATGGACACCATTAATCCTTTATTTATTTGTCACATAGAAAACTATGAGCTCAGTCTTGGTTCAAGAAGGCGAGGATGGAGAAAAATCGGTCTATTTCGCCAGCAATGTCTTAAATAGGGTTGAATTGTGCTATCAAAAGATAGAGCAATTGTCTTTGGCAGATGTGATTACAGTAAGAAAACTGAGACTTTATTTCTAGGCAGATTAAATCATTGTTAAGACTAACTATTAGGTCAAACAAGTGTTGAAAAGTCGGATCTTGTAGGCATAATGGTGGCTTGGTCGGCGGAGTTATTCGAGTATGGAATATCATTTGTACCTGGAAGTAGTATCAAATCCCAAGCCCTGGAAAACTTCTTGGTGGATTTCAACACTCCGATTGAGGAGGAATCCCCCTTACATGTGGTTCTTATCAACGAAAGGGTCATCTAACATGAATGGTAGTGGAGCAGTAATCATGTTGGAGGGACCCAACAAGATGCTTTTAGAACAATCATTATGTTTTAACTTCCAAGCTAGCAATAATCAGGCAGAGTATGAAGCTCTTATATTAGGGATGAAGTTATCCCTGAGGTAGAAACTACCCACCTCAGGGCCATAATCTATTCATAATTGATCATTAACCAGGTAAGACGAGATTATCAAACCAAGTAATCGTTATTGTTCAAATATCTGCAAGAGATCATCAAGATTACGAAAGACTTTGAAGGCTTTGAGATAGTACATGTTCTGCATGAAGAAAATGTTTGGGTTGACCTATTAGCAAAGCTATCCAGTACTAAAAAGTCAGGTCTCAACAAAGCAATGATACAAGAAAGTCTTGATAGTCCAAGTACGGGAGTCAGGGAGATTATGACGAATGATAATAATGAAATTTGGATGTCTCTCATCATTGAATATTTAACCAAAGAATGCTTACTAGAGGAAGATATGGAAGCTTGGAAGATACGAAGGCTCTATGCTCGATTTGTCCTAGTGTCGAGTAGACTCTACAAAATGGGAAGATTGATGCCCATGTTGAGGTGTATCGTCGGGGAGGAAGTGAATTTGGTATTGGCCAAGGTTCACTGAGGTATATGTGGAATCCACATCGGACGGAGATCATTATCAAGAAAACTCCTAAGGGTCAAATATTATTGGCCGAAA